GGTGAGCTCACTTGCTCTCAGAGTCTTCCCAGGCAGGACGTTGGGACTGAAAACATGGCTGGGCCACGCCCCCGCAACTGTGACTTGGGGTCTCACATCTGCCAAGGTGTCTGGGTTCTGGCTGTCAGCCTAGGCGACAGGTCTGAACCCAGCTCAGCTTCGGAGTTGGCCTCCGGGTTGAGGTGGCTTCCTGGCCCACTGAGGGGCAGCGGCAGCGGCCGGGGCGTCTCCCCCAAGCTTCACACTGAGGGGCGGGGCAGCAGCCACTGAGCAGCGGGACGAGCGCAGCCCAGAAACCTTGCCGTTGGGAAACCCCCGAGGCCAGGCCGGTCCTGCCGTGTGGGGGTGCAGGCCTGGGCACAGCACGCGGCCGGCGCCGCCGGACTCTGGCCTGGACCAGCCTCGCCACACAGACGCAGGCGGTTCCGGAGCTCGCACAGCAGGGGTCACACTCCGAGCTCAGGGAGGCGGGACGGCTTCTGTCCTATCTCGAGGTGTCCAAGTGGTCAGTGCCACGCGTCTGAGTGGCCATGGGTTCCTGCCGCAGAGAAGGCTGTTGTCCTCAGGCGGGACGGCGCCGCACTGCCCTGAGCCGTCCTGAGGGAGAGCCGGGAATGCCAGACACCCGGCTGGACGGGGGGCAGTGGTGGTGGCATGTGGCACCGCCCCAGGCCAGGCCCTTGCTGCTGCCGCTGCTGCCCACCTCGGCCCCTTTGTTCCCGCGGGCAGGTCCCCTCCTGGCTCTGCTGCAGGTGGGTCCTCTGCGAGCCGGAGAGGCCCAGGGCCCAGCACAGCTCCCATGGCGCGGACGCCTCACTTAGGCGTTGCTTTCTAAGTCAAGGTCGCTTGCCTGAAGGATGGGGACTCATTCGGATTGTGGCGTGGTACGCCTCCAGGCTCTCTGAGAAGAGTACCGTGGAGGGTCGGGCTAGAGGAGTCATGGGGACCCCTCAACCCAGCCAGGAGCCCCCGCTAACCTGACCACAGTGAGCCCCAGGGCAGTGTGATCCGGACATGAACAGCAAAGTTGTCGTCCTCTGCCTTGTCTTCTAGGTATGTCCCAACCATGATCTTGGGGTTACAGCAGGGCCAAGCTGTGGACCTCAAGACGGGGTGTCCTGCACCAGCCTGTGGAGACACTGAGGTCGCAGGTCTGCCCCAGCCCTGCGGGGGAAGCAGAGGGGCCGGCTGTACTGTTGGCTCCATGTCGGGCTGACCCAGGCTGCGGGATGCAGCAGACCCTTCACCGTCCCTCGTGTCTTTGTTGGAGGCAGGCCTGCTGGGAACTGGGCCACGGGAGCTGCAGTCTGATCGAGGTGCAGCACGTGACCCCTGTGGGCCCTGCGGAGCTCCGGCCAGACGTGGCCGTGGCCTCGAGCCCTCACTGGGCTCACTGCATCTCCTTCAGGGTCTTGGAGGCTGGCAGCTCAAGTGCTGGGCCCTGTCTTCTGCTGCGCTGACTCGAGGGGGGCCTGGGCTGCAGGTGCTGCCCCCCGTGAAGCCCAGCCCCGCTCCCCTCCTCCCTGGGCACCCAGAAGGCACTTGCTCTGGGGCCGTGGGATGAATGGGTGAGCGAGCGCACAAGTGGGCCTGGCAGAGGCAGGTTCTCGATGTGCTGTTGGGGTCCGGGATGAGAATTACCCTGATCAGGGCTGAGCTGCGTGCTTCCCAGGGAGCTGGGGAGCCTGACAGGAACACCCCCACCCCACCCAAGTTCTCAGTCTTGCCATCCGACTGCCTGTCCGCCTGCTCAGGGGTCCCACAGCCCCTCTGGCCCCACTCGGGGTGGGTGCCAGTCTGTGGGCCTCTGATGAGCCTTAGGTTGTAAAAAACCATCCTGTGAAATGGAGTAAAAAGAGGACTTTGGGGCACTTCTACTTAAGATAGCTGTTCTGCCCAGGGAGGATTCCTGGGGTCACTGAGCTTTGCCAAGAGCACGGCTTCCCATGTGCCTGACCACCTGGTTCAGGGCTGTCTGCTGCGGGCATCGAGCAGAGTCCACTCCCAGTCCTGGCCACCAGGTGGCAGGAGTCGCACAGCCCAGCTGTGTCCAGGGGGAAGTGTGAGACCCAGACACCCGTGAGGCTCCCCAGGGAACAAGTGTGGGGCAAGAGAATGACAGTTCTGGACCTCACCGCCAGGTTTGTGGGTCTGAGAAGGGGCAGGGTACTGTGGCCAAAGGTCCCTGCAGAGAAGGGGTGACGAGGTGCAGGGAGGAGGGTGGGCGGCTGTGTGTGGATGGGCGGTTTCTTCTGTTCTCTGCTGTGTCCCCACAGCAGGGCTCAGCGAATGCTGCCAGGAGAGGGTCCCGTGCTCCCAGCCCAGTACTGGTTCCTCCGAGTGTCTGAACAGCTGCTCCCTGAGGGCCTTGGTGCCCTCAACCCCAGGCCGTCTGCTCCTGGCCCTCTGATGCTCACCCACCCAGTGCCATGGCGAGTGGTGGCCACGTGGCACAGGCTCTGTGCTCTGCAAACATGCGGAGCACAGGTTGGGCCTGGCCACCCAGCTGCTCAGGGCCCAGGAGACGAGTTCTGGAGCGTTCCGGGGGACCACCACTGTTCCCTCACAAAGCCAAAGCCCAGCACGTGGGTGCCGGGTGCACCTCCCCAGCCCCTAGCATCCCAAGGGCTGGTGGATGCAAAGCAGAAGCGCTAAGCCAAGGATGCTTTCCTTAAACGGGCACGCAGGGCCAGAGCTGCTCCCTCGGGGGGGGGGGGGGGTCGGGGGCTTCCAACATGGACAGCACAGCTTTTGTCTGGCTGTTAGTGAGAGGCCCTTCCCGCAGTGGTCTGAGATCCCTTGAGGGAACTCCCTGGAGAGCAGGCCCAAGCCTGGCTGCTGGGAGGCAGGAGGCTGCCGGCCCTCTGTGGGGCTCCACGTTGGCTCTAAGGTTTTAGCAGTGCGAGGCCCAGGGCCAGATTCCCCAGCTTCAGATCCCAGCCTCGCCAGGTCCCTGCTTAGCTGGGGCCAGGTACTCGGCAGACCCTCCCAGAGTCCAGCTGACGACACCTCCTCCCCGCAGGGCCAGGCTGCAGCGAGGTGCGGGGTCCGCGGCGCGGCCTGCTCCCGCCGTCGCCATCCCGAGGTTCTCCAGGAGTCGGGGGCCTCGGGCTTTGGATCCCGTGGCTGCTCCCGCTGTCACCTGCTGGGAACAGCCTAGCGGAGCTGGCCTGAGGGCACCGCCCCTGAGCGCTGCCTGGACAGGCTGCGGGCTGCCTCTGGGGAGAAGCCATCTCCATGTGCTCAGAGCCTCCTGGGAGCAGGGCCAGGGTTTGACAGAGCCAGGAGCAAGAGGGAGGGCTCCCTACACGTCTGCAGACCCGTGGGCAAGCACCCAACACCACATTTTCTAGAAAACCCGGAGCTCTTCTGAGTGACAAACAAGTCTGGTTCCATAAAGTGTGGCACGAGCAGGAGGCGGGGTCTTCTTCGCTGTGACCAGAGGCACCTGCTCATGACACAGGGGCAGGGCCACGGACTCCACCCCCGAGGGCTGCATGGGGCAAGGCAGGTGCTGACCGGCTGAGGGCTCTGCTTGCAGGCAGGTGTGGCGACTGTGGCTGGTGAGGATCCGGCTGGGGCCTGAAGAGTTCACACCAATCCCTTAAGCTCCGAGGTGTGAAGGGGGAAGGGAGCCGCACCCCCAGCTACAGGGTAGAGGCCACACCAGGGCAGGTACAAAGGAGCAGCACCTCGGCTCCAGGTGGCAGCAGGCTGGGCCTCTGGGGGAGGCCATGGCCCCTGGACAGGTCTGGCCGAGCTGAGGAAACCAGGGTTCTGGTGGGGGGGTGGCCAGAGTGGCCTAGCAAGTGGCTAGATGATGGGGCACGGGTGTGCGACGCCCACATCCCGTATCGGAGCATCAGGTTAAGTCCTGGCTGCTCTGCCCCGTTGCACCCAGGAAGGTGAGAGCCCCTGCCCCCCACGTGGAAGACGCAGATGGAATTTCTGGCTGTTGGCTTCAGCCTGGCCCAGCCCTGGCTGTTGTGGGCATCTGGGAAATGAACCAGCAGACTGCAGCCCCCTCTTCACACTTCCTTCATGCTGCCTTTTAAATAATTAAAAAAAAAAAAAATGAAGAGACATTGCCATGAACGTCCAACTCTCAGAGGTAGGCAGTGGGCCTGGAGCTCTGTTGGGACTTATACGCAGAGGTCCCCTATATGTCCCCAAACCCTAAGGCCTATGCGCCCGGGGGCTATAGGATGCCACGCCAGGCATGCATCAGTGCAGTGGGTACAGCACTGCATCAGTGCCACAATCAGGCACAGCCCACCCACGGGCCTCAGCAAGCTTGGCTGTCACACGGGGTGTCTGTGTGGGAAGACAGCACCGGCCCTGTGGCCCCAGCCCTGCCCTGTCAGGTTCAGCCTTCCCGAGTCTCGCGTGGCCCAGTCTCAAATGTGCCACATGCGCTCCCGGGGCCCACTTGTGGCGCAGCTGGTCGGGCGGCCACCTGCCACTCCAGCACGCCGGGTCCACGCGCTGGGTGGAGTCCTGGCTGCCCTGCTTCTGATCCAGCTTCCCACAGTGCCCGGGCAAGCAGAAGAGGGCCCGAGTGTGGGCCCTGCACCCACTCGCAAGACCTGGCTCCTGGCTTCAGCAGACGGAAGGTTCTCCTGCCTACCTTCCACCTTTAAATGAAAGATCTAAAGAAGGGAGTGGGGGGCTGCTCCTGCCCGAGAGGCCCCCGGCTCTCCTGTCACCCGGCCCTCTGCCCGGCACAGGCCCCCAGCACGCCCTCCGCTACCACACTCAAGGCGCAGTGAGTAGGTGAACCGATGCAGCAGTAACCGGGCCTTTGGGCCCCAGGCTGGGGGGGTGGGGCAGGATGGTTCAGCTGGGCCGTGCTTGCCGGGGCGTCCTGAGCTTTGGAGGATGTTCACGGCACCCCTGGACACAGTGCCCACCCGAGTCCTCCCCAGACATGGCCAACTGTCCCCTGAGCCACACTGCCACCACAGTACCTGTGCTCGCCCCGCCCCCAGGGAGCCTCAGGCTTGGCTGCTGCCGAGTGTTTATTGTCACGACTGTACACGCCCGCTGGAAGCTTCCGGGCCCCCAGGATGTCAGGCACTGGGCAGGAGGGGCCGCTGCTCGTCGTCGCCCGCGTCGCCGGGAGGGAGTTCGTAGATGACACACAGGGAGGAGTACAGGCAGCCGAGGAAGGACACGAGGCTGGAGAAGTACATCACCCCGCTGGCACTGCCCACGGCCGAGGTCAGGGGCCCCAGGACCAGCGAGACCAGGATCTGGGCCAGGAAGTACTGGCAGCTGAGCAGGGAGATGTCCATGCCCATGCCCCGCCGGGTGCCGTCAGCGCTGGACCCTGCAAACTGACCCAGAGGAACCACATCAGCCCAGGCTGCCACGGCTGCCACTCAGGGCCCTGTTCCGTGCAGGCCCACACCGGCGGCAGCACGCTGGCTAGGCCTGGACTGCACAGTGTCTGTGCTGGGCGGGGCGGCCATGGTGGGGACATCCAGGACGGTGGAGGACGTCCCCAACTCCCAGGGCCCAGCGGGCAAAGCGGAGCCTTGGGCCTGAGGTGCAACCTGCCCAGCCCCTTGCGTCTCGCACTCAGGCCCCACAGTACCTGCCACTGTGCGGGCTCTTTGGGGAGGGGTGGACAGGGTCCCCACCTTCCGCCACACATGCCCCCAGGCTGTGGGGTGTGGACCACCCAGCGGCCAGGGTGCACACGTGGGCAGGGCGCTGGCTGGGAGGCGAGAGAAGCCTGGGCGCTCAGAGCTGCCCCTGCCCCTGCGGGGAGCTCCAAGAACGGGCTCCACAGGAAGCGGCTCTGGGCACCGTGGTCGGCCCGAACCCACGGCCCAAGTGGAATGGGAGTGCCCAGGAGGCCCCGTGGCCTCCACTGTCGGGACTGGCCACTCAGTGTCGCCCTCTGACCCAGACTCGCACGTCCGTTACGCAGAGGACCGATCGGGGACAGCAGCCACCGAGATTTCAGCCCCTGTGGCCACTGCCCATTGTGTCTGACCATGGCAGAACCTGGGGGGCTGCACAGCCACGCCCAAAGACCCCGGAGCACCAGGTGGTTTCCCTATGGACAGTACGGGGGCGGGGATGGCCCAGGACGCCTGGGTTTACTTCCTAGCTCTGGCTCCTCTCTCCGGCTTCCTGCTAACACCCTGGGAAAGGCAGCTGAGGGCTCAAGTGACTGGGTGCCTGCCACCCAAGGGAGACCCGATGGAGGGCTCAGCCTCAGCCTGGTCTAGCCACTGCGGGCACCTGGGGTGGGGCCCAGGGGATCAGAGCTCGCTCCGTCTCTGTCACTCTGTCTCTCTTCTTCTCAAATATATTCTTTAAAAATACAGAGAGAAACAAGAAGAGAAAAAAGTACCACGCGCAGAGACTTGTCAGAGACGTCAAACTTCAAAACAAGTTAGGGCCGGGCCTGGGAGGCGCGGCCGCGGGGTGAGGGGAGCGAGAAGCCCCGTCACCATGGTGGTCGTCCGGGGCGGGAGGCAGCCGCACTGGGGCTCCCACGCGGCCTTGAAGAGGGAGGGGGCGCGGACCCGGGCTCCGCAGGGACAGCCCTGGACACAGCGGGGCCAAGGCAGTGCTGAGACCGAGGCGACCCACTTGGGCCAAACACCCGGACAGGCACCCCCACAGGGACAGCAGGCGGACTCCTGCTCAGGCCTGGGGCCCGGGGCCTGGGGGATGCGGAGACGGCTGCTGCACGCGTGGGCTCAACACGCTGACTCGTACACGTGAAATGGTGAGTCGAGAGGTTTTTCAGCTCTTAGAGAAATCTCCCTGCTGGACAAATCCCCACACCCGGTTGAGCGGCTCGGCCTTCCACGCTGCCTTGACTGAAATCCCGACTGTGCTGTGGGGCTCACGGTCACGGTCACCCTGCATTCCCACATCACTTCACTCAGAGGGGCAGGGAGGGTGCCTCCTCCCCAGGGCCTGGGGGCTCTGCTAGGGAAGCGGCGGGTCCTGGGGGCCCTGCTCTTCAGCCTGACAAGGGCCAGCGTCCACACTTGCTGGGTCCCGCGCGTCGCACGCAGGCACTCACCTTCTTGCTCTGGTAGTAATCGCAGAGCAGGGAGTAGGGCAGGGTGCACAGCGTGGAAAACAAGATCCCGTAGGTTACGCACAGGGACAGGACCACGTAGAGGTTTCTGGACAGCGTGGCCAGCCCGGTCCCCAGGCCGAAGGCGAGATAGGCGATGAAGTAGAGGGTGCGGACACTCAGGAACTCCTCCAGCTTCTCCAGGATTGCTGTGGGCCCACGCGGGTGAGCGACCCCCGCGGCCCCAGGCACTCAGCCTCCCTGGACTGCCGTCAGGGCTGACCCCGGAGCTGGCGGTGGTGGGCACCCAGGACACTGCAGTCTGGGAGGCTGGCAGGCCCCGGGTGTCCCTGTCCACTGCCAACCCCAGCTGGGTCCCCAGGGCATCGGCGGGCAGAGAGGTCTTTGGGCTGAAACACCCATGAGGCCCACGGAACTCTGCACCTGTGTCGTTACTGTCCTGTGTCCCCTTCCACACTGGGGACACCGCAGCCCAGCGCCTGGCCGCCAGCAGGACGATGTGGCTCCAAGAACACTGGGCCCCTTCCCCACGTCCGATGCCCCCGCCTGGCTGCGGGCCATGAATGCCCCGTGCCTGCCACAGCCACCCGCTGAGCTCTGACAAACTCAGCCCGGCCCCAGCCCCGAGGCGGTGACTCGGCCACTGAGACAGGACACACAGCCCGGGCCGTCCGGCCAGCTGCCTGCTGCTACCTGGCCCTGGAGTGAACCAAAGATGCGTGTTCTGTGGCCGCCGAGCTGCGAGGGCCGGGGCCATGGCGGCGACAGGGACCGCCCAGCTGGCACAGCCAGAAATCTCTCTTCCCTGGCCTTTCACAGCGAAAACCCGCAGACCCCGCGCACGCGGCCACCGGGCTCCCCGGGACCGGCACCCTGGGGGCTGCTGTGAGCCGTCTGCTTCCTGTGCCCCACGGTCACCCAGGCACAAAGCCTCAGGGTCGGCTCAGACTCTGGCCTCTGCCCACCCCGCAGTTCCGTGAACTCGCTCCGTCCTCCTCCCCACGGGCAGCCATTCCACAGAGCCACGTGGGCGGGCCGTGGGCAGGGCTGGCAGGCCTAGGAGTGGCCGCGTGGTTCACCCCCGGGGCCAGCGCTGGCCCACACAGGCATGCACGCGCCCCCTCCATGGGCCACCAGCTCTCTGAGGCCCGAGGGTCTCTGCCCCCTGCAGCCAGGCGGCCGGCGAGGGCCCACCGGAGACGGCGTGTCCCCCCACGGGCGCAGGGGAGGGGCGGGGCGCGGTACCTGAGTAGAAGGCGGCGCTGAAGGCGTAGATGCACAGGCCCCAGCAGCCCATGGTGACGCCGCTGCTGTACTTCTCGTAGGCCTCCGACGAGTGCGGGGCCTTGGGGTCCCCCTGGAACACCACCTCGCCCATGAAGTCCGTGTAGAAGAGCAGCATCCCCTCGAACGACAGCCACCCTGGGGGGGGGGGGTGAGAAGGGGCTGAGCCCAGAGCACCGGCCGCGGCCCTGGGGCCGAGCGCCCACCGACGGTCAGAGCAGCCAGCGGTCAGAGCAGCCAGCGGTCTGCAGATTCCAGAATTAGAGAGCTGCCTGGAGGGGCCGGCGCTCCGCCCCGGGATCAAGCTGCCGCCCGCAGCGCCCGCATCCAAACGGGCGCCGGTTCGAGTCCTGGCTGCTCCACTTCCCATCCCGCTCCCTGCTAACCCAGATGGAATTCCTGGCTCCTGGCTTCTGCAGCCATGCAGGGAGTGAGCCAGTGATGGGAGCTCTCTGTCTCTCTCTCTCTCTCTCTAACTCTGCCTTTCAAATAAACCTGGAGATAAAAAAGCCCCTAGCACTTTACCACCTGGAACCAAGCTCTGGCAAGACTGCAGATGTCCTTCCATTCTTTGCTTTTAATAAACACGTATTTTTAAAAGCATGCAATGGGACGCTGCCCCAGGCACTCCGGCTGCCTGAGCCGGGGTCCCCGGGAGGCGTGGGAGAACACGCGCGCGCGAGCTGCTCCACCGGCTGGTTCACACCCCGGGCCAGGAGCCTCTCCGGGTCGCCCACGTGGGTGCAGGGGCGCAGGGAGCGGAGCCACGGTCACGCGCTGCGGCCCAGGGCGCGCGGGCGGGAAGCTGCGTCTGCCCGGGCCTCCCCGCGCCCACGCACGGAACGGCGAGCGAGCCCGCAGGGCCCAAAGCCAGGGACGCAGACGTCAGGCTCCTCGCCTGGGGCCGCACGGCCTTCTAGAGGGCCACGCCGACCTACGGCGCGCGCGGTGGGCGCCCTGGGCCGCCTCGCTCCCCATCGCAGCTCGGCCGCACGAGGGACGCCGGCAGAACCAAACACGCGGAGTGGGGGGACGAGAGCTTCTCCACCGTATCGCAGGCCAGGCCTCGCGGCGGCTCCGCCGGAGCTGGGCACAGCCGCGGCCACCGCTGGGCCGAGGCCCGTCCCGGGTGCTCGACGCCGCCTTGCGCTGAAGCCGCGTCGCAGGAGCCCGGGTGTAGACGCCCAGGGGGGCGGGCCGAGCGCTCACCCAGGAAGTGGTTGACGCAGAGGCTGCGCAGCGCGCGGGGCATGTGGCAGATGGTGGCCCAGAGGCGCCTGGCGGACAGCGGCGGCTCGGCCTGCTCGGCGGAGCCCGTCAGCTCGCTCTCGTACTTCACGCCGTTCAGTAGGATGTTTGCCACCTGCAAGGGAAGCCGGGTACCCGGCCTCAGCGCGGGCACAGCGCGGAGTAAGTCCGAGGTCCAGGCGTGTCCACGGAGAGCGGCTGCCCAGGATCGCTGGGAACGGCCGCCCCAAGTCCTGGCCGGACAGGTGGGCCTCCGGGGGCTGGGCAGCGCCGCCCGCCCTGGCACCCCCGTGACCAGCGCCAGCCGGCGGGGTGCGGGGTGCTTCCTCCCGGGGACCCTTCCCCAGGCGCCCTGCCCGGGTCGGCCATGCGGACCTTTAGGGGGACGTAGATGTGTGGGGGCCACGCAGGAGGCGCGTGGGTTTCGGCAGCACTGCCTGGGCCCGGGTGGGTTTCTTCCCACGGCACACGGCGTGCTGGGGTACCAGCGGGGCCGATTGGAAGACAGAGCGGAGATTCCAACCGCACACCCCAAGATCTGGGTGCAGGTGGGTGCGTCCCTCCCGGGTCACCTAGAGTGAGGGTGACATCGCAGCCTTTGAGGATAGCGGCTGCCCGACCCTCGAGGTGTCCCAGCCTGCAGACCCGGGCAGACACAGGCCGTGTGCACCCCTGGTCTGAGCAAAGCCGGTCAAAGGCCCGGCCCGGGCTGGACATGACCGCAGACAGCTGCTCCAGCGCCGGCCAGCTCTGACCGGACCACCCCTCCGGCAACGGCCTGACCACAGCCCTCCTTACTTACAGGAGCCTCCAGTCTGACCTTTGCCTCCGCAGAAGAGGCCGCTGGCCCTGAGGACCCTGCATCTGGCTCAAGGAGATGGCCGACGGGGCCACCCGGCACCACTTGGGGGTCTTACGTTTCTCCTCTTTCAGGAAGACTCAGAGCCACACAGCCTGAACGGGCCCTGGACTGGCCACTCACACGAGGCTTACTGCCGAGTGCCGGGAGTCAGCCCTGGCCTGAGTCACCTTTGGGCAAAGGTGGCCGCGGTCTAGGAGCTGCACCTGACCCAGAGCCACCCATGCCGGGCCCGCCGACCTGGGAGCTTAGATGGTGGCTGGGACTTGCAGCTTCGTCGTCTGGGCCACCAGGAGGGGACGCCAGCTGCTGCCCCTGCGCTGGCTGCCCCGGCATGTGCACCCACCTGTTGGCTGAAGGTCACGTTCCTCCTCCTGCTCGTGTCCGGCCCCCCTCCTCCGGCCGCGTCCGGGAGAGCCAAGGTCTGGGGTCTCTTGAGGATCCCAGATGACCGAGGCTTGGGGGTATCCAGGGAGCCCACCCTTAGAACGTCTCCGTCTGCGGCCAGGGCGCCCTCCGTCCTGTCCAGGAGGCCCCGGTCCTGGCGGTAGAAGCCGTCGGGGGCCCGGGGGAAGCTGACGCTGAGCGGCTGCCTGGGGGCGCTGCCGGGCATGGCCAGGTAGGGGTCCTGGGCGCCCGTGAAGCAGTCGATGAGGACGCTGTCGATGTGGGCGGCGCCGAAGGACGAGGCGAACTCGTTAATGCCCGTCAGGGAGCTGTCCCTGCTGACGAAGCTGCCGTACTTGGGCGTGAGGGGGCTCAGTGGGGAGATGGGGCTGGAGAAGCTGGCGTAGAAGCTGGTGGCCGTCTGCGCGGGCAGCGGGTCGCCGGCGCCTTCCTCCGGCGGGGCGGGCGGCGACGGCGGCAGCGGGAGGCTGGGACTCTTCATGGCCGTCCTCTTCTCGCCAGGCGGCCGCAGGGGCCGCTCGGGGATGCTGACAAGGGTCAGGACGGTGGTGACGCTCAGGGTGATGGCGGTGAAGATGTAGATGACGCGGAGCTGGCCCCCCAGGGCCCTCCCGAAGCGCGTTTTGTCCCAGTGGATCCCCCCGACCACGTATCCAAACCCTCCTCCGAGACCTGGGGAGAGAGACAGGGCAAGAGCGCCCTCCTGCGGCCAGGCAAGGAGCCCCTGGGGACAGCCGCACCCCAGCTCCCCGGCATGGTGTCCACCCCACCGAGGGTGTCCCCGCCCCTGCCCTCCAGGCACCTGCCACGCCCCTCCTGGTGCTAACCTTGAGAATAAAAAGTATAATAATACACGCCGGAGGGAACAGGAAGGACTCCCACACCTGGGAAGGCAGAGGCCGGGAGTGGGCGGGGCCGAGGCTGTGTTAAACATGGACACAGGTGCGGCCAGGCCGGGACAAGGGAGGAGCCTTCTTGGTCACTCCTGAGGCACACATGAAAGGCTGAGCTGAGCAAGCGGAGGTCTGGCTTTCCCCAGGAGCGGACGGGTCAGAGGGAGCCCCTGGCGTGTGGGGTACACCCCAGGAGCGGACGGGTCAGGGGGAGCCCCTGGCGTGTGGGGGTACACCCCAGGAGCGGACAGGTCAGAGGGAGCCCCTGGCGTGTGGGGTACACCCCAGGAGTGGACGGGTCAGGGGGAGCCCTGGCGTGTGGGGTACACCCCAGGAGTGGACGGGTCAGGGGAGCCCTGGCGTGTGGGGTACACCCCAGGAGTGGACGGGTCAGAGGGAGCCCCTGGCGTGTGGGGTACACCCCAGGAGTGGACAGGTCAGGGGGAGCCCCTGGTGAGTGGGGGTACACCCCAGGAGTGGACGGGTCAGGGGGAGCCCTGGCGTGTGGGGGTACACCCCAGGAGCGGACGGGTCAGGGGGAGCCCTGGCGTGTGGGGTACACCCCAGGAGTGGGCGGGTCAGGGGGAGCCCCTGGCGTGTGGGGTACACCCCAAGAACGGACAGGTCAGGTGGAGCCCTGGCGTGTGGGGTACACCCCAGGAGTGGACGTGTCAGGGGGAGCCCTGGTGTGTGGGGTACACCCCAGGAGTTGACGTGTCAGGGGGAGCCCTGGTGTGTGGGGTACACCCCAGGAGTTGACGGGTCAGGGGGAGCCCCTGGCGTGTGGGGTACACCCCAAGAGCGGACAGGTCAGGTGGAGCCCTGGCGTGTGGGGTACACCCCAGGAGTGGACTGGTCAGGGGGAGCCCTGGCGTGTGGGGTACACCCCAGGAGTGGACGGGTCAGGGGAGCCCCTGGCATGTGGGGGTACACCCCAGGAGCGGACGGGTCAGGGGGAGCCCTGGTATGTGGGGTACACCCCAGGAGTGGACGGGTCAGGGGGAGCCCTGGCGTGTGGGGGTACTCTCAAAGCACCTGCTGGTCAAGGGCAGACTCCTCACCAGCAGGGGGAAACGGGACCCTGAGCCCGCCTCCCAGAGGGCAGAATGGCCGAACGCAGATGCACCCGGAGAGAAACCAGATCTGCATGATGGCTGCAGAGGGGCAGGGATGTCAGGGGCATGGAGCCAGCTGTATACACACACACACGTGTGTCAGGGGCATGGAGCCAGCTGTATACACACACGTGTCAGGGACCCTGGAGCTGGCTGTATACACACACATATAGGGATACCTGAGCTGTCTGTATACACACACACATGTCCGGGACACTGGAGCTGGCTGTATACACACACATAGGGATACCTGAGCTGTCTGTATACACACACGTGTGTCAGGGGCATGGAGCTGTCTGCATGCACACATGTGTGTCACAGACTCTGGGGCCAACTGTATACACGTTAGGGATGCCTGAGCTGTCTATACCCACAGATACACATCTAGCAGTAGCTTGACAGTACTTCCACAGGTTCACAGAAAATGGATTTGAAAGATAAGCTTATTTTAGTGCAAAATATTTTAAAATTCACACACATGAGGCATTCTCAAAAAGTTCATGGAAATGCATATTATAAAATAGCTATGTGTGGATTTCAAAATGTTTCTGCAACAAAATAAACTTGTAATTCCATTATCCGTGAACTTCACATTTTTTTAAAAAAATAATTGTGCGAAAGAGAAAAAGAAGGGACCAGTGAATGCCCTGGTTCACCCCCAAACAGCTGCAATGGTCATGGCTGGGCTGGAGCCAAGCCGGACCCAGAACACGACCCAGAACACCTCCCACACGGGTGGCAGGGACCCAGCTACTTGAGTCGTCACTGCTGCCCCTCAGGGTCTGTGGGCACAGGAAGCTGGGGCTGGAGCCCAGGCACTGGGATACGGGACACAGGCATCCCGGAGAGCACCTGGCCCCGCCCCGTCTGCACCTGCAGCTGCAAAGACACTCACCTGCCAGGAGGGCGTGGATGTTCAGGCCCCGGTCCTGGTCCACGGGGCTGCACACGTCCATCATGTAGGCGTGGCTGGGGTTGTCAGCCGAGTCTGCGCTGAAGTCCATCAGCACCACCCCGCACACCGTCAGGAGGATGCCCCACTTGTGGTTGGCGGCTGTGTCGGCCAGGGCTATGCCGATGTCCCTGCCATTGAGCAGGAGCGAGAGGCCCAGCAACGCCCCTGGAAGCAGAGGACAGTCGTCAGGCGCACAGGCAGAGCAGCCCCGTCCCCAGCCAGTCACCATGAAGTCTAGGACCTGCAGGGCCCGGGACCTGCGTGTACACCGAGCTCCAAGCAGAGCGCGCGGACGGGGCCCCTGCTGGCGCGTCAGCTGTTTGCACACGGCCAGGACTCTTCAGTCCGTCCGTCAGGCAGTGAAGCCACGAGGTGAACCGCGTTCATTTGTTAAACAGAAGCCAAGCGATCTACTCTCACAGGCTGGGGGCATTCCCAGGGCAACCGTCCTAGCTTTTCCTAACAGGAAGCGTTTTTGTTTTTGTTTTTGTTTTCCGTTTTATTTCCATGCCGAAACAACAGACCTATAGCCAGGACAAGTATGAAAGGGCGTCTCCTTCCAAACCTGGAGGTACACCGGTCACTCCACGCACCCAACAGCGGCTGCAGCAGGAATCCTGCAACAGAGAGGCCGCCCGCACTGAGACCCAGCCTCGCGACGCCCCGCGGCGCCCCCGTGCGGCGAGCAACCAGATGACGGCCTGCACTCGGCAGCAAAGCCCAGACTCCTGGCCCCGGGCAGCTCCTTAGGCACCCAGAGATCCCAGGGCCTGCCAGACCCAAGTCAGGTCAGGCTTTGCAGCACGGGCCTGTGGCACGAGATGGCGGCGGTCCGCTCGGTTGTCTGGAACTTAAAATCCGGGATGGGATCGGCCACACCCATGTTTGCCACCTTCACTCTTGTTCTTCCGATACCCCCACCCCCACCCTCAAGTTGCGTCAACTGGGGCTTCCAGAGGAGGCCATCCACCACCGGGGCTCACCGAGGATGGGGCTGATGAACCACACCAGGCTGTAGAGCTGGTCGGGCAGGCCCATCTGCAGGAGCACCGGGGTCACGTACGCCGTCTCCATGGCGTAGCTGAACTCAACGCCGAACAGGATGCAGCCGTTGAAGAGCAGCTCCCGGAAGGACCTCTGGGGGTGCAGCTCCCCGAAGTCCACCAGCTCGATGGGACATGGGGTATTTGGAGGAGGGGGCGGAGAGGGGCGGATGCATTTCCTCCTCTTGGGGTGTCGCTTGAAGTTGTTGGCCCGGTGGCTGAGGTGCCGAGTCACGGAGCCCACGGAGCCCGAGACCTGCGACCTCCACAAGTCCTTAGGGGCCACGCTGGGGAAGAGGGCCTCTCCCGGAGGGGTGCCGCTCGCCGCCGGTGCGGTCATGGTGGGGAGGGCCTGCGAGGGAAGCCGGGCGGGGGACCACGGTCACTTTCGCCTCGGACCGCCTTTGCCACATGCCACACTGCTTCTAAGAGGGACACCTTTCTGGCTCTCGTGCTGTACTCCCCGCTGGCCCGGGGCCTTTTCCCCAGCAGGGCGGCTCATCCGCTCATGGCACCGAAGCCCGATGCCGCTCCCTGCCCAGGGAGAGGACGCCCAGGCCTCAGGCCCCACCTGAAACCTGTAGGGACTGTGCACCAAACAGAAGCTCCCGTCTGCAGGGCAGGCACAGGACTGCCGCGTGACAAGAGCAGCCGGCAGCCCAGCGGCTCTGCGCCCCTGAGGACGCGGGGCTGTCGTTGCTGCGGCCCATTTCCAGGGCTAGGTTTGCTCCTCCCCGAAGGTCTGCAGGGATCAGAGGGGAGGAGAGACCAGACGTGGGACAGGGACACCTACAGGCACCCCGAGCTCCCCAGGATGGAGGGTCCTGGCCCGTCCTCTTCACTTCCAACACTCCCTGGGAGTCAGTCACAGGGGTCTCGTCCCCGGGAGGGGTCTCGTCCCCGGGAGGGGTCTCGTCCCCGGAGGGGTCTCGTCCCCGGGAGGGGTCCACGCCCTGTCTTCCAGCACCAACAGTGTCACAGGAGTCCTGACTTACAGGGGTGGCGAGTGCTGCCGTTAGAGAAACTAAGAACCAGTGAGGAGGGTGAGAGAGGTTTCCAGCGCTGGCACTGTGGCACTGCAGGTTAGAGCCAGACCCTGTGGTGCCGGCATCCCATATGAGCACCGGTTCAAGTCCCGGCTGCTCCACGTCCGATCCAGCTCTCTGCTGTGGCCTGGGAAAGCAGCAGAGGATGCCCAAGTCCTTGGGCCCCTGCACCCACGTGGGAGACCTGGAAGAGGCTCCCGGCTCCTGGCTTTGGCACAGGCCATTGCAGCCATTTGGGGAGTGACCAGGGGATGAGAGATCACTCCGATTCTCCTCTCTCTAACTGCCTTTCAAATAAACAAACACATTTTTCAAAAAATAGATTTTTTTTCCTCCACCCTCAGCTTATTTTGGAACAATTTATATATATTTAAAGATTTATTTACTTATTTGAGAGGTAGAGTTACAGAGAGGGAGAGAGAGGTCTTCCATCCATTGGTTCACACCCCAGATGTTTGCAATGGCCTGGGCTGATCCAAAGCCAGGAGCCAGAAGCTTCTCCCGGGTCTCCCACGTGGGTGCAGGGGCCCAAGTACGTGGTCCATCTTCCACTGCTTTCCCAGGCGCATCAGCAGGGAGCTGGATCGGAAGTGGAGCAGCCGGGACTCAAACTGGTGCCCATGTGGGAAGCTGGTGCTGCAGGCAAGGCTTCACCTACTATGCCACAGCACCGGCCCCTGGAGCAATGTTCACAATGCCCATGACCTAGAAAAACATGAGCACGTACATGACCTTCACCCCCACCCCCTTCCTCCTCCACGCCTGCCCTGTGTCCACGGGAGACCCACGCCCGAGCGCCCGACTGTTTCCCACGGCTTTGAAATTCATCCCGACTGGCAATATGAAGGGAGTGGGTTTCAGTGCGCTGACATGTGTGCATGTGTGTGCACGTGCGTGTGTGTCTGTGTCAGTCGCAAGGGAAGGAGGCAGACACAAACATCAGGGGCGTTCTGGAATTGTTTGATCTCTGACATAGCCCATCCCACTGGCCTCACAAAAAATGCAATTCACAAAATTCCCTTGCAAGTCCTTCCCGGGGGACAGCCTCCAAAGCAGGCCAGCTTTCCCAACGTGGGGAGGTTTCCCGAAGACGGCACTTGTCATCCGCCGAGACAAATGCTAGAGGCTCTCCGGCAAACCCAGCTCCCAGCTTCCGAACGAAGGCCCTTATTTCTGGTGTTAACTTTGGGCAGCTTCCATATAAATCATGCAACCTTTGTACCCAGAACTCACCCAGGGATTGTCCTCTGCGTTAGAAGACCCCAAGGGTGGAAACAGTCAGCTCTAGGGACACGTTAGCAGGATTCAGAACATCGAGTGAGGCCAGTGACCCACCCACCCTCCATCCACCCATCCTATTAATTCACCCATCTGACCAACAACCCCCACATCCACCCTTGCAAACATCCACTCCCCCACCCACCCATCCTCAGCTGAATACAGAGGACCAAGATGCGGAAGGAAGCCCTAGGGGCAGAAGCAAGGCAGACTTCGGCCCTGGCCTTGGGTGGAAAAGTAGAGGAAGGCATTGCAAAAGTCGCGGGGGCCCTCTGTGAGAGACACGGGGCGGCACGTGGGCAGGGCGGGCTGTGCCGGGAGGGCAGGCAGCAGCTGATGCTGGCCGGACTGGGCGCCTGGCTAAGAGAGGGATTTTGTACCCAGGTGTTAGGGGTGACACGGCCAGACGGCCCACTTCCTGTCACCGTTAGATCTTCCTGTGTCCACAGAGAACCTCTCTCCTGTAACAAGCACAGGCCTAGGAACTATGCAGACAACGAATCCTCGTTTCCGATGGAGTTCACTTCCGAGGCCCAATCGAGATGCAGACTTCAAGGACGCTACGCTTGCTGCGTCCCCACGGTCCCGCTCTGGCGCACCCGAGCGTGGGTCATCTTCCTCCCAAAGACACAGGGAGGCACGAGCACCCCTGGGCATCACCCAGGCAGACAGTGCAAGAGCCAGGGCAGGGCCTGGCACGGGTGTGCGGGAAGCTGGGCCCTGCTCTGCCCGCGCCTCCCCCTCGGGCCCCAGCACCGAGCAGTGTCTGCTTCGCCCTGCAACACGGACCTGCGCGCACTGCGTCTGAAGACTGCCGCTACTTCTGGAAAGAAGAACCAGGCGCCCGGTTTAGAAACATGCCTGGTTTTAACAGCCTATCGGGGAATATATTTTTGAAAATGGGAACCTTTTTGACCTTATTTAAAACAGATACGTACAAGGAGACAGCCCACTTTTCCACCTGCCGTGTGACGGCTTCACCACCACCTCCTCCACCCCAACCACGAGGCAGCCTGGCGAACGGAGGCCGCATCTGCCCGCCTAACGGCCCTCTAGCGCCTCAAACGGATTTAAACTTGAGCTTGAAAAGTCTTCACTAAGGGTTCATTTCAACTTTAGGGATCAGTAGTACCATTTCCATTTAAAGATATGTTTATTAAAGGCTGTCATGGGTACAGTGGCTAACACCTCTCCGATGCCTGCGTTCCAAGGCAGGGTCCCTGGGTTCCAGTTCCAGCTCCACTTCCCTGAGAATGCACCCTGCAAGGTGGCAGCTGAGGGCTCAAGGACCTGATGTCCCTGTCACCCACGTGGGAGACCTGGACTGAGTTCTGAGCTCTTAACCTTGACCTGGCCCAGCCCCAGCCCCAGCCCCAGCTGTGGTGGGCATTTGTGGAGTAAACCAGCAGATGGAAGATCCCTGTCCATCTCTGTTCTCTTTCTGTATCTCTGCCTTTCAAATAAACTCAAAACCAAACCAATCCTGTTCATGAAAGTTTCTAGTAAGAGGAATTTTTAAAATGTATTTTAAATGGGTGAAAGGGAAATTTAAAATAATGAAAGAGTGAGTCAGCGCTGTGGCGTAGAGCGCCGGCATCCCATATGGGCGCTGGTTCTAGTCCTGGCAGCTCCATTTCTGATCCAGCTCTCTGCTATGGCCTGGGAAAGCAGTGGAAGATGGCCCAAGTCCTTGGGCCCCTGCACCCATGTGGGAGACCTGCAGGAAGCTCCTGGCTCCTGGCTTTGGATCGGCGCAGCTCCGGCCATTGCAGCCAATTGGGGAGTGAACCAGCGGATGGAAGACTTCTCTTTCTTTCTCTTTCTCTCTCTCTCTCTCTCTCTCTCTCTGCCTCTCCTTCTCTGTGTAACTGACTTTCAAATAAATAAATCTTAAAAAAAAATAATGAAAGAATTTTTAGAATCTTAAAAAAAATTCTTTGAGAGGGAGAGGGAGAGCGAGCACGCCCCATCCGTTGGTTCAGTCCTCGAATTCCTGCAATGGCTGAGACTGGGCTGGGCCAAAGCTGGGAGCTGAGGACCCAAGCCAGGTCTCCCTCATGGGCGGCAGGAACCCAGGCACCTGAGCCACCAACACTGCCTCCCAGGGTCTGCATCGGCAGGAAGCTGGGGCCGGGGTGAGGGCGGGCCGTGAACCCAGGCTCCCAACGTGCAGCTCGGGCTCCTTAACCATCGGACCCCACCCCCCACCCCCCGAAACAGAACTCTCACCCGCTAATGCAAAGGTGCACCAGCTCACCCTGTCCACACTGGGCGACCGTTACTGGACCCGAAGGTTGCATGTGGGCCCCACAGAGCTCCCAGGAAACAGGGATACAGAGGACACGTTGTAGGGTGTGTGTGCGCTTTGAAAGGCCAACGAAAAAGATCTTCCTTCTGCTGGGTCACTCCCCATTGTCCACAGCAGCCAGGGCTGGGCAGGCTGAAGCCGCCAGCCAGGAGCTCAGTCTGGGTCTCCCACGTGGACGGAAGGGACCCAGCCAGGCCAGCCGTCCTCTGCCACCTCTCAGCGCGCGCGTTAGCATGCAGCTGGATCAGGAGCCGGGCAGGCTAGCACGCCCGGGGGCTCGGACTCGGGTCGGGGGTCTCAGCTGCCACTGAGTTCGCCCGCCCCCGATGTTTAAAGCAAGGATGCGCACTTGGAGGCTGACCGCTACAGGTGCTCCCGGGGCCAGCGCTGGCTGGGAGTGAGCAGGCGCGCGGAACGGGCGTCTGACAGGACCCTACAACGAGCAGAAAGGACTTCCTCGGGTCCCCGCCACACCTCGCACCACGCCAACTCCCTTCCACACTCCGCCTCCATCCAGCCTCCGAGTTAATCCTGGAAGGGGGTCTTCGCGGACCACGCGAGAGCCCTGTGGACTTGGGGGGACGATTTAACCAGCTGTCCCCGAACTGGGTGGCCTGTTTCTCTCTGCACAGGGCCAGAGCCTCCTCCCTCCGAGGGCGAGGCCCTCGCGACCCTGGGCTTCCTGGGCACCTGGCTACCTCCCTGCGGGAGCCGGGAACA